GCACCGTGAACGCCCTGGCCGCGGTCGCGAGGCCCGCCGCTGACGTCCCGGACGGTCCCGCCGACGGCGGCACCAACCGGGCCCCGGCCCAGAAGAACCTGAAGAAGACGCCGGTGCCGCCTGGGGCCCAGCAGGGCGGCGGGGACTGAGCGGGCCGCGCCGAGCGGGCCTGGGGCGGTGTGCTGGAGGGGCCGCCGCCGGCTGGAGGGGCAAATGGACAGATCCGCTCCCGCGTGGAGCGTGGCTCGGAGAGAGAAGAGTCCTTGGACGCGCCAGTTGGTGCTCCGGTGTTGGGGTGCAGGCGGCAGGACAGCGCGGGCTGGGACCGCCGGGATCGCGTCTGCGAAGTGCGGATGGCTCCGCGCAGCCGGCGATCCCCGCTGGAGACTGAGCCCAGGCTGGTGGAGGCCGTTTTGGCATTAAAGCTGGGGGAGGGCCTGGCCTAGGGTTATGTCAGCCTCCGGGAGGGCAGAGGGAGAGCCCAAGGGTCCGGGCCGGCACGACTCCTCTGCGGGGGGTTGCGGGGGAGGAGTGGAAGGGGAGTGGCGGGGGTGGTCCAGGGTTTTTTTTTCCCCTTAAGGGTCTGGGGAGGAGGCAGGGACTTCATGCACTGGGATAGAGTGTGACCGGCACGCCAAGCAACAGATGCCTGGGACACGTGGCTGCTGGGACAGTGTTACCCGGATGGATATGCAACCGCATTAGACAGGGCATCAGCTGGACAGCAGCCCGACTGGCGGCAGCTTCACTCTACTCCGTGGGACTCCTCCGACCGGACAGCGTTGCCTGGACACAGCTGCATCTAGTCAGTGTATCCTTGGACTCTTAGCTTTGCTTTGGACAGTGATACCAAGGACACTTATCCCTTCACTTGGCCTCACCACAGGCAGTCACCTGGACACCAATGTCTCTCCAGAAAGTGTCACCCTACACAGCCTGACTTCCCAGGGTGTCACTTGGGCGCGGTTTCACCTTGGACAGACAGCCCTTCACTGGCTGTTCCTGTCACCAGGACCCACTGGCCCGGCACAGCACAGCCTGCAGCGGAGCCTGGAACCAGCGGCTTCTCACCTCCTGGCCTCGGAGGAAGTCAGCTGGGGGCGTCATTTAACCACACACACAGTGTCCCAGGGTCTGTCAGCCAGTCGTTTTTAGAATAAAATGTGTAATCTTAGGCTTTAGCAGGTGGCGCTTCTAAGGCCTGCTAGCTTTTCTCCTTCCGTCTTGCCGGGGGATTCAGACATACCGTGAAGGTTGGTAGTGGGGGTGCCTTCTCCGCCTGAGAAGGATCCAGGGAGGTCTGGGGTTATGGATGAGGGTCAGTCAGGGGAGTCCCGGTTGTATGGACAGGCACACTGAGGCCTCGGTGGGGTTAGGGCAGGAATCCCGCTTCCGTGGGAGAGGCAGTGGGCCCCAGCCACCCCCCACCCCCAGCCCCGACCCCCAGCTACATGAGGCCAAGCTCACTCCGTGTATCGTTTATTGCGGGATCAGGGTCGTGTCGGGATCCTAGGCGCCCTGCCTGAGCCAGAGGCTGAACCCCAGGCCCAGCAGAGCCCCGCGCACGCGGGCCAGGGTGGGTGCGAGGGGTGGGGCTGCCGCGCGGACGGAGGCGCCAGGGGAGGCAGAGACCCTGCGCCCCCCGAGAGGCTGCTGCGGGCGGAAGTTCTCCGTGAGCGGCGCGGGATGCGAGCCCGGGGGCCCGGCCCGGGGCACCGTCTGGAACTGGGCCACCTGAGGGTGCGGGGCAGAGACGGTCAAGACGCGGCGGGCGGGCGGCGGGCAGCCCCGCCCAGGGAAGGCGCGGCCCCACCTGCGCGCGCCCGATGGGCACCGCGTCCTCGAAGACGGTCCAGAGCACGGCGGGGTCGCAGCCGGGCGTGGTCAGCGATCCCGAGTAGCGGTAGTAGCGCGAGAGGCCGGAGGCGCCCGGCAGCAGCGAGGCCAGCGGGAAGGTGGACGCCAGATCCACAGAGACCCCTGGGCGGGGGTAGGTGGTGAGGGGTGGGGAGGCGGGATTGGAACCGGCCTCCGCGTGCGCAGACGCCCGGGCCCCAGCATTCCCAGCCCAGGCGCGACCTGGCGCTCCTCACCGTGCGCAGACACGTTCTTCAGGCCCGACACGAGGGCCGAGAAGTTGGCGTTGTCCGAGTCCTTCTCCTGGGGAGGGGGCTCCAAGTGAGAGGAGCTCTGAGTGGGGGTCTCCAAAGGGAGAACTCGGAGGGCGTCTGGAGGAGCCTCTAAGTGGGAGGAGGGTAGGCTCCCCGTGGGGGGATCTGGTAGATCTGCTGGGGGAGCGTCCCTCCCACTGACCCTGCAGATCAACTACCTCCCACTGGCTCCAGCCTCCCACAGAACCCTTTAAATCCCATAAACCTTATAGACCTCCCACTCCACCACAAACTCTGCAGTCCTACTCTGCCCCCTCTGCAGACCCCAATGGACTCCCTTTCTGGGAAGCACACAGAGCCACACAGCCCCCGCCTCCCTCGCTGTGAGGAGTCACAGGGCCCCTCCCTCACCGCCAACAACACAGCCAGCACTGCCAGCCCATCAGGGTGACCTCGAGCCTCGGTCATGCTCCGGTACCGTGTGTTCATGTGGACCACATGCATCTGGGGAGGCACAGACCATGGGAGGTACCCAGCTGCCCCCAACATGCTCCCCCTGCCCTCCCTGGGGCACTCCCGCCACCCAACCCCATGCTGGAGCCCACCTCCATGGGGCGGCGCTGCCCATCCAGGCTGTGCTCTGAGCCTGCTCGCCCAGGGCCCCCCCAGTGGAAGTGCAGCTGTAGTGCGCGGTAGGCAGGCAGTGGCAGCCCAGCACCCTGCAACTCCAGGCGGCTCTGCGGGCCAGTGTCCACGTGGAGTAGCACTGAGGGTGAAGAAGCACATGACACCCTTTTCTTTCTCCCCATCTACTCGTCCTTGTACCATTAGGGCACAGGGTGAGAGCAAAGGTCCCCCTCAGGCCGGTCTGCTCCCCAGCTGGCCCTCTGTGGAACCAGGACACACTCTAGGCCCTTCTGCTGGTCAGTGGGGCAGGGCTCCGCAGACTGCAGAGGAAACCCCCACCCTGCACGGCGGGGGAGCGCGCGGCCCTCCTGGGCCTGGAGTCCTGACCCACCGCAGCTATGTGTGATTGTGGCAGTTGTGCCTACTCCCGGGGCATCCTGGTGCTGTGGGGAGTTCTGACTCGTAGGTATTCCTGATTCCTGATCCTCGGGGGCAATGGCTGATCGCTGTTGATAGGGGGCTCCTGACCCCTGTGGGGAGTCTTTGATCCCTGTATGGTGTCTCATCTCCTAGGGGGATCCTGATCCCTGTGTGTGTATGGGAGTTCCCACCCCACGCAGGAGGTTCCTGCAGCTATCTGTGGGGGCTCCCGACCCCAGGGTGCTGACCTGTATGGCCATCATTCTCCAGGGTCCATGGGCCTGGAGGTGCTGAGTCATAGCCATGGAAGACGAAGGGTCCGAGGGTGGGGTCCCGCTGGACCAGGTGAAGGTCAATGTTGATGGGGGACTGGGCTGGGCCCCCACAGGCAGGGGCTATCTCCTTCCAGTGGGAGGGGCCTGAGGGAACAAGGCCTGGGGTCTGTAGGCGGTGGTCAGGGAGGCAACTTGGGGGTGCACAGAGGAAGGTGGCCTCTCTCTCCCACACATACCCAGAGAACAGCCCAGCTTCCCCCTCCATCCGTACGGACAGGTCACAACTGCCACCTCCCTCCAACTTGGCCCGGCCACATGTTTGCAACACTCTCACACAGGCTCCTCACCTAGGCCACACTCTGACACACAGTCACCTGCAGGCATCTGCCCTACCGGGAATGAGGGTGGAAGGGTCTCCTGGCACACGGTCACGCAGCCACACTGGGGATTTCCACCACGTGCTCACATGTGGGTGGCCACACTGACAGGCTTACAGGCCTCTCCTGATACCAGCAGCTTGGCACACACAGCAAGACTGGAGATCACAGCAGCCATGGACCCGCACACACAGGCATGCTGCCTTGTGCCCAGGCACTGTGGCCCAGGACTACCAACAGAAACCCACAGAGACCACAGGAGAGCCACGTGCAGACAGCCTTTTGGCCACATTAGCAGCAGGCTGTCTAGTGACAGGACACAGACCAGTCCACACAGCCTCACACGACACTCTGTCCTCACCACACTTTGGGTCCTGGGAGTCATAGCACCAGGCGCCTGTGGACAGTGGGAAAAGACCGAGCTGAAGGATGGCCCATCTGGGCCCTTGCCCTGCACCATCCCAGCCAGGGTCCAAGAATGGGAGGGCAAGGCTTAGGCCAGTGGAAGCCAGCGCAGACCCTGCTCTCCTGTCACCCCAACCCCAGTAACTCCCTCCCCAAAGAACCCCCCACCCAGTAGCAGGGCCTAAGGGGCAGCGGGGAGTGGGGCAGAGTCCTGGTGCTCACCCTTGGAGTCTGCGCGCAGCACCAGCGGCATTACGAGGAAGGTGAGCTCGAGGGCAAAGACCATGAGTGCGAAGCACTGAGACCACATGGTGCGGCAGTGGCTGCGACTCCAGAGGACTGGAAAGTGCTAGAGGGCGGCAGGGCAAGGTGGCTGTGTATTTATTAGTGGGGTGGGCTGGGGCGTGGCTAAGTCCTGTGGGATCAGGAGCCGGCCGCTTGGGAGGGCGGAGTGGTGGTGGGGCGCCCAGGCAGGGCCACCAGCAGGGAAGATGGAGTTCTGAGCTCACCAGGCACTCTCTGACCCCAGGGCCGTGGCTGCGTGCCAGCAACAATCGCCAGCATTTATGGCAGCTAAATGCTTTACACAGATCCCTCAATTAATCCTTGCAGGGGGCCTATTATTATACCCATTTAAAGATGAGGAAATGGAGGCTGGGGGCCAGGAATGACATGCCAAGGCCACCAGCAAGGATGGAAGTTCAAGGGGGAGCATATCTTGGATCCCAGAGCCCTTGACTTGCGGGTCTGAGGTGCGAGGGCATGGGAGGGCATTTCTCCCCTTCGCTGTGGGCCTGGGACCCCCCCCCCCCAGAGACCACAGACTCCCTTCTACTGGCATGCCCCCACGGACCTGGGACAAGATGGATCCCTGCTCTGGGCCCGCCCTTCTTTGGGGGACCATCTCACCAATGGGTCTCCAGGAAGCCAGAGCCCGTCTCCACCGCCCCACCAGGCCCAGGTGGGGACTCGGCTTGCGCAGCAGCTCCAGAGGCTCTAGTGTCCAATAGACTCCAGACTCTGGCCCGAGCCTCAGTTCGTTCTCCTGCAAAGTGGGGCTCTGATTTCTCTGCCTCTTGGTGTGGCCAGGAGAGAAAGCGACACTGTCTGGAAAGAGCTCCGCACCTGGGTGCCAGTGTGCTCCCAAGTGTAAACACAACTGGGCCGGCGGGTTGAGGGCACCAGAGGTAGAGAGAAGACCTCTGCACCTGGAGCCTCTCTCCAATCCCCAGAGGCCCGGGGTCTTCCCATTTTGGGGAAGGGAGGGGGCCCCTTCCCCGCAGCAGGGGGATCGGGCGCTGTCCACGGTGCTGACGGCGCCCAGAGAGCTCAAGATCACCCTCTGCCCTGCAATGTGTTCAGGAACGAGGGGCCACTTCCTCAAAACTTCTATCCTGGCTGAGGGACTCACTGGTTCCTTTCCTAACTCTGACCCCTCAGCCATCCGGCTGCTGGGCTCCACCAGCCGGGCCGACAACCAGGATGGGGGGTTAGGAAGGCGAGCACAAGGACCTACCCGAGGTTGAGTCCCCAAAGTCACAAGCTGGACAATTACTGAAAGGATCATTGCTGGGGAACTGAAGGGACAGTGGGGTCTCGGAGCCCCGTGCCTGCCCTTGGCTTCCACAGATGACCCAACTCCTCCGTCCACCCATCTCTGCACCTGTGCATCAGCCCCAACTTGGCCAGAGCCTCCCACCCCAGTTTAGGTCACACCAAGAACTGACCACGCCTCTTCCAGAACACAAATTTATTTGGCATTTGGATGAAATGGTTCTCACAGCATCTTAAGAAAGGATTAGTGCCAACCCAACCAAAAATAAACCCAAACTAAAAACCCTTAGTGAAAGGAAAACATAAAGAACAGGCGTTGAGACAATGTACATATTGACTTCCACCTCCGCCAGACAGCTCAGGCCCCAAGGGAAGGGGTCCCCCAAGAGCCTGGCCTGTCCCTCCAGGGGCCCAGTGTGCATGGGGCTGGGGGGCCATCTCCCACAGGAGCACAGGAGTCTCAGCTAGGGCTGGCCTCGGGATTCTTAATTGGACCATGAAGCACAACCAGATCTTACAAAGGGCGGCGACTGGATAGAGGCTGCGGACAGCCGGGCAGACCCCAGCCCTCCCCCTGCTCCCCTCACAACCGCCCTCCAGGGGAGCTCAGCTCCTGGGGCACCAACTCCTAGAGACGCAGCGGGCAGCACACAGGCCTTCTGCACAGCCCAAGGATGTCAGAAGACTGAGCACCCTGGTGCCTAAGCTGAGCACTGTTGGACAGAACCCTGGCCAGTCCAGAAGCAGGCCCACCTTCTGCAACCCCCATAGTCTGCTTCAGGCCACCCCTCCTGCATGCCTGACTAACCCCCTTGGCAGTCCTTCAGTCCCAAAAGGAAGTTCCCCAGTCCCACACAGCACATGCCAGCTGTCCTGTCCTGTCCACACAGTGTTGAGGCCTGGGCCAGAAACACCAGGGCTGGGAGGGACCCTGAGCTGTTGGGGGCCAGGCCCCTGTGGGGCTCCATTGGGGTGATCACTCCCAAGCAGGCACACTCAGGACTCTTGCCCACCAACAAGGCCTGTGCCTAGCGCATGCTGGAGGCACGACATGCCTCCTGCTTTGTCTTCCTCAGCCAGGGTGAGCACATGTGCCCAGGACACCGTTCTCAAAGAAGTATCAGCCCTTCGGCAAGGGGCACGCAGGTCTGCTCGGCACACAGCCCGCCTGCGTGAGGCCTGCCTCTAGCACTCTGGCTCCTGCAGGCCAAGCCCAGGGACAGGCAGTTCAATGACAAAACTCACACCTCCGGCCAGCTCTGGGGACGAAAGTCAGGTCTGTGGGGCAACTCAGGAATCTCATTCCATAATGGAAGAACAAAACAGACTTTCAATTGGAGAGTGTGAGAACATGACCAGAACTGGACTGTGCCGCTGAGGTCTGTCACCATGAAGCACCACAGAAGCACCCACTTCACGCCAATGCTCCCCTCGCTGCATGCTGGTCTGTGAGGGTGGGCAGGGCTCCGCGCTCTCAGCTGAGGGGCAGAGGCGTGGACCCGGTCATGCCTTGGAGCTGCCCAAGATGCCACGGCTGGCCTGTGAAGGTGGGGCCCCACGTCCAAGTTCCTGTGTACCGCCACCACCTGCAAACACTTGGACATATACATACACATACAGACACACGCACACACAAAAAAGAAAAGATCCAGACAGTCAATGTAGAAAAGATATGGATGTGCTAAAAATCGCACAGAACCCGCTTAATCTCCAAACGTCAGAAATGCTAAAAGCCCTGTGTCAGGAGACAAGACCACTGCCGAGGAGCAGGCATCAGGGTCCCTTGGTCAAAACGCCCCCGGGCAGGGCACCCAGCACCCTGTGCTGCTGAGGACGGGAAGGTGGCATGCAGCCACCGGGCACTTGGCTCCAGTGGTGGTGGTGGTGTGCAAGAATGGACTTTCAAGAGATAGACACAGCCCAGGACACTAATTTCAGCCACCCCTCCCCCCAGAGAAACAACCCTTTATGGCACAAATAAGGTGGGATGGGGCAGGCCAGGCCCAGGGGCAGATTCAACAGTGGCTGCCCCAGAGGGTAGCAGACAGGAGCTGGCTTTGCCCCCAAGCCCCAGTGGAGGATCCAGGGCCAGGACACTCATGCATGGACAAGGGCCTTGGCCCAGGTCCAGAGCCACCTCCTGGGGGAGCCATGCACAGTAATGCTGGGGAGAAAACTCACAGGGTGGGGCCAGGGCCTCCTGGCACAGAACTGGGCTTTGCAGAGCCCAGGTGGAAAGTTGGAGTGGAGAGTTCAACCTCCTTCAAGCTCCCCTTCCCAGGGCCTCCGGCACTAGAGCCCCAGGCCAGCCCCCGGCCCGTGGCAGGGTCACCCCCAATGTTCACAGCTGGACCTGTGGAAGGTCATCCCCAGAGCAGCCCCCGGAGCAACCTCCAAGGCCGCCTGCCCTGATGGTACTGAAAGTCCACGCCCCGCGCCCAGAAGCGCCCCTTCAGAGCAGCGGCCCGTGAGGTGACTGAAGCAGCCCTGGACTTGGTGGCCAAGTGGCAGGCTCCTCTGGATGGCATGCTGCAGCCAGCAAGCCCACCAAAGCTGGGAAAGCTGAGTGTGGCTGGGCCCCCACCCAGGCCCACAGAGCCTTTTTTGTTCCCTACTTGTGAAACATGTAGTTTGAACAAACTTTGTCATTCTTCTGCCACTTAAAAAGAAAAAGACAGTGACCCAAAGCTATACGTGTTTTTGAAGCCCTCAAGGAGACCGGGTGCAGGTGCTCGCTCCTTTGGGAGGCAGCATGTTCTCCACATGCACGCCGTCAGTGAGCGTGCACAGTGCAGCTGGGTCCAGGCTCACTCAGGGGCCCCTCGAGTCTCGACAGCAAACAGGTGCTCCCTGCCCATCAGGGCCAAGGGCCAGGCTGTCCTCTACACCATGGTATTGAGGGAACTGCGGCTGTGGTGGCCACCCCCTGGCAGGGACTCTGTGGCTGGGGTGCTCCCACTCTGGGTGGGGTCGGGGGGCACGAGCAGGGCACTGCTGCTGTCGCCTGAGTCTTCCAGGTCTGCCAGAGAGGCCCCTGCGGCGGGCAGAGGCTGTTCCAGGCGCCGGGGCGAGGCACCTTCACCACCACCATCCCCTGGGCTCGGCGGGCCGGCCTCCACTGCCTCAAAGGCATCGTCATCTGCAGGAGGAGACAGAGGGTGTTAGCACGGCAGTGAGCCTGGCACAGCGGAAAAGGGGGGGCTGGACAACACCGGGGGAAAGTCCTCCTGCTGTGGGGGCCGGGGGCATGGGCTCACCCCTCACCATCCCACTGTGGTGGGCTGCCACGGCACAAGGTGCAGGGAGGCAGCCATAAGCAAACCACAGTGTGTGCTGCGGGAAGACACGCTTTGACAGAGTCGCCAGAACAAAGAGAGGGAAGGGGACACAGCCTCTCAGACTTGGTGGGGGTCGAAGCAGGGCTCAGGTGATGTCGGGGAGTTACTGGGCTCGGGGAGGACAGGTCAGCAGTGTGCGCAGCCCCCAGACCAGGAGCTGTGGCTGGAATACGGGCATGAGAATGTGGGAGACAGGGCCAGAGCCGGCAGCCCTGCAAACAAGAGGGATCTGCAGAAAGCTCTGGTCTGAGGGAGGCCTGTGGCAGCCCATTCCCTTCGGGCTGCCTGCTTGCTCCCTATCACCACAGGCTCTCTCTGAAAGCTTGGGGCGTGCGGACCCAGGAGCGCCCCTCCCCTGGCCACCCCCAAGGCCCCAGCTGCCCTGCCCTGGGGAGCATTTGCTCCCCTGCAGCCTGGTCCATGGAGGCATCTGGGCCCCGTGGCCCCCAGTGGCATCCCTATCAGGAAGCTCGTTCTACCCCGGTGCCCTGACTACACATTGTGACAACCTGTGTCCTGAATACAGGGTCAAATCCAAGTCTTTTCCACCCCTGAAGACCACACAGGAGCCGTACGAGCTGACCAAACGAACAAGCACCACCAAGAGGACAGCAGTGCTGCCCTCACAACGCCCGTTCTGCTGAGGAGTGTGGGCATGGAAGGGGCCAGCCAACCTGGGGCGGGCACTGCCCACGATCACACAGCAGGGGTGTGTGTGTGCGCACGCGTGTGCATGTGTGTTAGAGGGCATAACGCACAGGGAGACAGGATGGGACACCCGCACTGCACGCCAGGGACAGGGATAGCCAGACAATGGGTGAGGCACCTGGCACTCCTGTGCCACACAGCCCGCAGTATCAGACGAACATCACAGAACCAGCGCTTTCCTCCCACTTCACAGAGCCGCCTCCCCACACGAGAGAATGTCATGATGGTGACATGGGCACATGTGTCTTTACAGCCCTGTAGTTGGCTCTGGGAGCGCCTGGCCCCTGCAGCTCCAGCTGGGAGGCTCTGGGCCAGCCTCGTCCCCACAACTCCCAGCCCCTAGTTTCTAGCTCTCCACAGAGCCCAGCTGAGGGTACCCCAAGGGCTTCTCCCTCACACGTGCTCTTGGGAGAAAGGCAAAGGGCAGGGTGACCACTGTCAGCGGTCGCCTGCACCTGCAATCCTGGGAAGAGCCTGCTCACAAAGTGTTTCCACCATAAAGGGAAAACCACAGAGAGAGCAGATGGCCAGAAAGAAGTGGGGGTTCACAGTCCTGTGGACTGGGGAGGACCACTGGGCCTCTGGCTCCACATGCTGGATGGCTGGTTATGTGCTGCTCCTTCTCCCGGCGGGCCGGGGTTGGGGGAAGCACCTGCAGGGTCGTAGAACACGCTGTCGGGGTTGATGGAGGCCTCATAGGGTGGTGGCGGGTCATCAGGCTGGTCAATGTCGGGGTACTTGTATGCAGTGTAGGGAGGTGGAGGGTCATGGAAGTGGAAAGTCCCGCCTTCTCCATCGTCAGAAAGATGCAGCGGCGTGAGGCCTGTGCCAAACCCATCCGGGCCGTAATCAAAGCCAGGGATCCTCCGGCCAAGGTTGAAATGGTGCACTGGGCAATCAAAGCAGAAACGAGCAACAGAGCCGTGTCACTTGGAGACACGCTGCTTGGCTCCTGAGCTACCCACCCTCCTGAGGCTGGATCTGCCACCCCCAGGCCCAGGGTGCCAGACATTCTGTCATGCTCCTGTGCCCAGCGCCCACCTGTAGCCCACATTCAGCACACCCACCCGAGAGCCCTGACTTTCTCTGAATCGCTGGCCCAGTCCCCCTCCTCGGATACAGTGCCTCTCTGCCCTTCACGCACATGCAGCACATCACTAAGGCCTGCCTCTCCTGCTGCCCGGTCTCAGGTCTGCCCACTGTGCCCCAGCCCTCACCACACCCCGCCAGCTCTAATGTGTTTCTGGGTGTCTAACCCACGATGGCATCGGAGTTCTGCTCACCCTGCAGCTTGGTAAGAACGGAAGAGGGTCTTGGGAAGAACCTTGCTGGCCCACAGTGACGTGGGGCCTTCACACCTGACCTGGGAGCCCTGGGAGGGATCGGGGCCCCTAGACGCAGCCGGCGTGGTCCTTCGTCATTCTTGCCACCTCGATTCTGAACCCTCCCCTGCCTGACTGCACCTATCCTGCCCCTCCCCACACAGGACCAGGGAGCCCCAGCTTGCTCATTGAGACCAGGGGGGATTTCAGAAGCTCTCTCAGGGGACAGGCTACTGCAGAGAACTTGGGCTGAGGAGGTGAGCCACACTCTCTACACCGCCTAATGGCCACGGGCATCTGCTCCTTCTCTGGCAGGTCGCCTCCTGGCAGGCAGCCCACACTCATGGCCCAGGCTGTGGGAAAGGTAATATCACTGTCTGAACACACAGCAGCTGCCGTTCGCTCAGAGGGGCAGCTGGCAGTGTGGGTGTACCCCTCCCTCCACGTGTCTATGGTCTCTGATTTCAGGTCTCGAGGCCAGCTCCTCCAGTGCCCCACACCAGGAGCATGTGAGAAGGGACACCCCGGGGCACCTTCCATCCAAGTCCTCTCCTTCCTCCCTGCCCACCTCCTGCTTCCTGTGCCCCCTGCAAAGGGACACAGCCCGGGGCAGGGCCTCCACTGCAGCATCACAGGCAGGGGCTGGAGCACTCACGATTTGCTCCAATGAGGGACTCGATGCGTTCCCGGCGCCTCTGGCGCAGCCGGTGGACCATGAAAAGCAGCAGCGACAGGATGAGGAAGGAGGAGATGCAGCTAACAATCAGACGCATCCCACTGGCCATGGAGTCGAACAGGCTGTTGCCATCTGTTACAAGGAGAGGAAGGAAACTTGCCACTCTTAGCAAGGGAGGTCGTGACCCCCAGGGGCTCAGCACTACGAGGCGGCCATGGCCCTCCACCGCTAGGCCAACTATGTGGACAAGGCACACTCGCTTCCCAATTCCCTGCACTGGACAGTCTTGGGATAGATGGCAGAAAGAAACAGCTCAAAAGCAAGAATACTGTGACATCAAAGGAGAGAAGCAAATCATGGGCCAGGAAAAATGTTTCAGTAAGACAGCCCTGTCAGGTGCCCTCCTGGTGTCACGGGGGCCTCGTCTCCTCGGATACAGAGAATGCCTGGCCTCCCCCTGGCTCATCTGTGTTGGGTGACCAGGAGCCTTCCTTCAGGAGCTGCAGGCCTCGAACTGCTGCTGTGTGCAAACGCCCACGACTGTCGGTGAGCAAGGAAGACATCTTCTGTCCAGGATAAGCAAGAGCAGTGCTCTACGTGCTCTACGCCCAGGGAGGGCACAGCTACGCTCTGCAGAGGCCACACGCCCTTCCCCAGGTGCTGAGCACGCTCCTTCCTGCTCAACAGGCCGTTTCTGAGTGTTGGGGAGACAAGCTGAGGACAAAATGTCAATGGCCCTGTCCTCACTGAGCTTACACACATAAGAGAGACAGACGATAGCACCGTACATGTGTCTAAATGATGAGAAGCACCAGAACACAACGGGGCTGGACAAAGGGATCAAAGGCAAAAGGGATGCGTGTCCCATCAGGCAGCCGTGGGCAGGGCCGAGGGCAGGGGAAACAGTGGATGGTGGCTGGGGCTGGGTCTCTGAGCTCTAGTCTCAGGTGATGTGTTGGGAAGCCACTGGAGGTCTGGGGCAGGAGTACCGCCTCCCGAGGGGCTCTGGCTCGGGCTGCACCACGTGGAGAATGGGCTGCAGGGGAAGGAGTGTGGGAGTGTCGGAGAGCCAGTGAGGAGGTACCTGCAGCCTCTAGGGGAGGGAATGACCTGGACGGGGTGGTGACAGAGGGAGAAGTGACAGCATGGGGTCCATTTTGGACTCAGATTTACATGCTTCACTGATGGCCTGGGGGTGGTCAGGACCCGCTGGGCTGCTGCGTGGAGTGGCTGCAGTCTCCAGCAACCGCTGGGGAAGGATGGCCAGCCCAGGTCTCATTCACAAATGAGGCCCCACCACAGCTGTGAGGGAGTCTGGTGGCCTCAGTCCTTAACCACAGTTAAGGACAGACTGCACACAGCCTCGCCCTGACACCAGTCCTGGGCACACATGGGAAGACGAGCACTCAGAAACACGCGTGCTGACCTCCAGCCACGGCATGCAGCGCCAGGCCCCACAGACACCACAGCCCGGCCACAGCTCTGCTGGCGTGTATGGGGGAAGGGGCCACGGAGTCGCCCACTCCTCCCATCCAGGGTGGCACGCGCCTCCCTCTGTCTTCCTCAGGGGTCCCATGCCCGCCCTGTCCTCCCACCATCCCTATCGCTGGGGTGTGAGCCCCGGAAGCCACAACAGGGGCTCAACGGGAGGTGCTGAACAGGACAGTGCATCTGGGCACGGCATCCAGCACCTCCCTGATTTCTTACCACCACCTGACAAGGGAGGAACTGAGGCTCAGCAGGCTGTGTGACTGGTCTGGGTTTAGACCTAGGTTCCAGCCTTCCAGGGGTGCTCCCAGAGTGCTCTGCTCCTCCCCCGCACCCAGCAGTGCTCGCATGTGGAGGCCAGGTCGCCTGATCAGGGGAAGAGAGTGAGGACAGTCTCCACTGGACCCCCCGAGTCCCTGTTTACAGCCTCCACCCTCCCCTCGGGTCCCCGTCAGTGGCTGTTCTAATTCTCGACCTCCCCACCCATACTTCCCAGCAACCCTCTCGGTTGGTGGGGAGCCCGGGGGTATGGGAGCACGTGCCCAGTGCTGCCAAATGCTCGACTGTGGCACTCGTGATCTCGCAGGACGGAGAGCAAGGACACACGTGGAGCAAGTCCTCACACAAGGCCTGAGGTGCCGCTGACCCGCTTGCCCCACTCCTCTCTACCCCGGGCCACAGTCTTGCCCGAGCAAGGCTGGACGGGTTGAGGCCACGTCCCTGCTGTTGGCCAGCTCTGTGGTGGAGCCCCTAGTGTTCTGCAGCAGCTCCAGCAGGGGGCTGGAGTCTGGCCTGCACCTGGACATGTCGAGGTAGAGGCAGTGGGGTCCCAGGGCTCAGGCAGCAGCTCTGAGCTGGGTGGTGGCCTCACTCTCCAACCCTCCTAAGTCACGGGCAACACGTCCCTTCTGCCTAAGCTCGCTGGGGGGCACAGCTCTGTTATGGACCCCTGTGCCCGCCCACCACACACTACAGAACCAGGCACTGTGATCTACACTAAGGGGTCTCACCCGGGGAAACTCTGCACCGCCCCCCGGGGGACATTCGACGATGTCTGGAGACACTTTTGGTCATCATCAACCACTCAGGAGGTAGAGGTGCTACTGGCATCTAGTGGGTAGAGGACAAGGATGCTGCTGAACATCCTGCCTTGCACAAGATAGCCCCACGACACAGTACCTGGCCCAAACAGTCAACAGTGCCAAGGTGGAGACCCCTGCCCTGCCCTGGAACACATTGGGGCCTCTTAGGTGCTTGCTGAGGGTGGGACAGAGATGATGGCCGTGGGATGAGGTGTGAAAGAAGAGAACTTGCATTGGCCCACGATGTGCTGACATTTCCACATGCGTTAACCCAGATGAGATGGGCCACTCGCACCAAGTCACAGAATAATGGAACCAGGAGGTGGTCCTGGGAATACCTGTCTCTACAGACCCAGGGGGGAGGCGGGGAGGCTTCAGCGGGGAGGAGTGACCTGTAGCCCTTGGAAGCAGGACTCTCCGTGGGCAGAAGGGTGAAGGACTGTCAACTCCTACCTCTGTGACAGCCACAGGGGCAGGTCCTGACTTGCCAGCCCCGAGGAGACACTTCACAGCCAACATGGGTTCCACGTGAGAGAGGCTGGGCTCCCAGGCCCTCCTGCCGCTCCTACTGGCCCAGCCTGCTCCACACCGGCCATGCAGATGGCTGGAGCTCACTCTTGTCCTCCTCCCACAGGGCCAGAAAGCTTCCGCAAAACTGGTATTTACTGCTGACAACACTTGGGAAGAAAACATGTGGAAAGGATACATCCTCTCACCAATCAGCCGCTGTTTTGATGCCTCTGATTCTCTTCCAGTCTCAAGAGAACATTTTGTCCCTGTCTGTGAGAGGAAGCCCATCAGCTCAGGGGGCCGCCGATGTGTCTGTTAATTGGTGGCCAGCTCAGAGATCCCGGGGGGGAGGGCACCTAAAGCAGCAGCCCCTTTGCAATGACTAACTCTTAATCAGTTCTAAAATAAACCCAAGGACATGGTCAAGGTCCCTGACTGTCCCTCCATGGCAGTTACTGGGAGGAAGCATCTCCTAGAACCAAGACACCTGTAGTCAGACACAAAGAAGTGAGCACTGTCCCAGGAGCCAGAGGCCAGTCTAGGAGTCCCAGGGGACCCACATCACGGCTGGTCCCTCCATGGGGCTCTGGACTATACCAGACAGGGCTGGGTTTTGCCTTTCAGGCTGCGGGTTCCTAGTTATAGACAGAGAACACATCCTGCTGGGGTAGATGCTGTTGGAACCGAAGGTACCCTGAAGTCTACCTGGCCTGACCCTTGGTCTGATGCCCGAGCCTCCCCAGGTGGCTACCCAGCCTGTGCATGAGGAGCTCCAGTGACGAGGAGCTCCCCATTTCACTGAGCTTGGTTACACGGAAACGGTCTAAAGATCTCCACTGGAGACAGCAGGTGGAGCAGAAGCTCAGCAGGAACTGGAGGCCGATGCCCTAGACCCCAACGTGGGCCCTGCTACTGGCTGCTGCACAGCTGGCACCTCACCTCACCTCTTGGAGCCTCTTGACCCCAGGTTGCCCCAGAGCACCAGTGCAGGACGGGAGCGGAGAGCTGCGGTGCCTCCGCATCTCGCCTGGCGCTTGGAGTTTTCAGCCATGTTATTTTAGCCTTTATAGTAGGTGTGGCACCTCAAGTGGATTCAATCTGTTTTCTTAATGACCACTGTTGCATATGTCTTCAGGTGCTTGGCTGCCATCATGTATCTCCTTTGGTAAAATGTCATTTTAAATCTTCTGCCCGTTTTTTTATAGGGTGGTTTCTTTCTTATTATTGAGTTTTTAGAGTTCTTTTTTTTTTTTTAAAGATTTTTTATTTATTTATTTATTTTTTCCCCCCAAAGCCCCAGTAGATAGTTGTATGTCATAGCTGCACATCCCTCTAGTTGCTGTATGTGGGATGCAGCCTCAGCATGGCCGGAGAAGCGGTGCGTCAGTGCGCGCCCGGGATCCGAACCTGGGCCGCCAGTAGCGGAGCGCATGCACTTAACCGCTAAGCCACGGGGCTGGCCCTAATTTAATTTTTCTTTTGTGGATCATGCTTTTGACGTCATATCTAAAAATGTTGCCTATCCCAAGGTCACAAAGATTTTTCTCCTGTGTTTTCTTTTTTCTTTGAAAAGACTTTATTTATTTAGAGCATAGGTTTTCTTCTAGAAGTTCTGTAATTTAAGGTTTTACAGTTAGGTCTATGACCACATTGAGTTAATTTTTATATAAAGTAGGACGTGTAGTGTACGGTTCATATTTTTTTGCATGTGGATGTCCAATTGTTCCAGCACCATTTGTTGAAAGAGTATCCTTTCTCCACTGATCTGCCTTTGTACCTTTGCCAAATATCAGGTGACCATGTAAGTGTGGGACTATTTCTAGACTCTATTCTCTTCCACTGATCTATGTGTCTATTCTTTTGCTAATACCACACTATTTTGATTACTCTGACTGTATAGTAAGTTTTAAATCAGGTAGCATGAATCCTCCAACTCAGTTCTTTTAAAAAGCATTTTGGCTATTCTAATTCCTTTGCCTTTCCATAGAAATTTTAGAATCAGCTTGTCAACGTCTACAAAAAAGTCCGCTGGAATTTTGGTTGAGACTGCATTGAACCTATAGACAATTTGCAGAGAATTAACCTCCTAATGATATTGAGTCTTCTGATCCATGAACATGGTATATCTCTCCTTTTATTTATGCCTTTGATTTCTTTCATCAGAGTTTTATGGTTTGTAACACACAGGTTGAACACAATTTTATAAGGCTTATACCTAAGTATTTCATGCTTTTTGGTGCTATAGTAAATGATACGTTTCTTAAAATTTTCAATTTCCACCTGTTTATAGGTTGTATATATAAATATAATGGATTGCACCAAACAGGGAAGCTGACTTGTGACCCACCATCAGTCTCACCTGGGTCCAGGCACATGAACTTGCAGCACTCTTTGGGGTCCTTGCGGTATTGCTGGCAGCCCTGGGGCCGCTCGCAGAGGGCAGCCACACACATCTCAGGCTCCCCTCCATGGCAGGTGCAGCTCAGGCATGGGTCATCCCCTTTGGGGGTGAAGTAGAACCCCTCATCCACCACGTTGTCCTTGATGTCAACACATGTCTGACCTGCAACAGGCACACACATGCACATACCTATGTGTTACCAGCAGAAGCCCTGACTCTCCCCACCTGGGCCTGGCACAGGAGTTGGTAAGACTGTGCCTGAGAGCCCTCCCAGTAATGGAATGCTGTGGGTCTGCGCCACGCCCACAAGGAGCAGCTGTCCAAGAGAAGTCACTACAACATACTGTTAGGAAAAAGCACACCCGGCTAGGGCAAACCTAGCCACGAACCTGGACCGCTAGGCCAGAGGAGAGTGCCAGATTCCAGGGAAAGTCCATAGGAAAGTGTTTGCTTTTAAGTTGCCTAAGACGTTTACTTATGAGATTTCCTCAATTGTAAGATGCAGCTGCCATGCATATTAACCATTTAAAAATCAGAATGTGTCTTGAATAAGTCTCTCCAGAAGCTACTGGTTCTGCTTGGGAAGATGATCCACTGGATCTGAGACACATACCACAAACTCTGTGCAGAGCTGACCTGGGACTAGAGGAAGAGGAGTGACCATGGCCAGGGACAGGAGGGAGCTGAAAACTCAGAGCCTTAAGTTGGTAGGCAGACATGACAGATGCCGCGGGGAAGGGACGAGGAACGAGGCAGGGGCAGGTCTTTGAAGGGATACGTGCTCAGTGAAAGGCAAAAGGACATGAGAAGGAAGTTTTCCCAGTCTCTAAATGCAGTAGGGATGTCTAGAAAATCTCTTCAGAAATTCCACAGCCATGGGTCTGTGCCTCACTTAAGACTGGAGTAAAATCTATGCAACTCATGTGGTCAGGAACTTGCAGGGCAAGAAAGTCACATAAAATTATCCTCTGCTAGAACAGAGAGGAAAAAAAATGAAGAAAAATGAACAGAGTCCTCAGAGAAATGCAGGGCACCATTAAGCACACCAACATACATGAAGTGTGAGTACCAAAAAAAGTGTGAGACAAAGGAAGAAGCAGAAAAAATATCTGAAGAAATAATGGGTGAAAACTTTCCAAATTCACTGAAAAACAAAAACCTACCCATCTAGGAAGCTCAACAGACTCCAAGTAGGAAAAAATCAAAGAGACCCACAAACAGACACATTATAGTAAAAATGCTGAAAGTCAAAGACAAAGTGGAAATCTTAAAAATAGCAAGAAAAAAATGACTTGTTACTTACAAGGGAACCCCAATAAGATTAACAGCTGACTTCTCAGCAGAACAACAGAAGCCAGAAGGCAGTGGAATAACATATTCAAAATGCTCAAAGAAAAAACTGTCAACCAAGAATCCTACATCCAGCAAAGCTACCTTTCAAAAAATGAAGGCAAATAAAGACTTTCCCAGATAAACAAAAACTGAGAGAATTTGTTGCTTTCAGACTCGCCTTACAAGGAATACCAAAGGAAGTTCTTAAGGCTAAAAACAAGTGACCCACAGATAGTAATTTGAATCCACACACACACACAAAAAGCACCAGAATAGGTAATTATGTAATTATAAAAGACAGTATAAATGTGTATTTTTTCTCCTTTAGTCTCTTAACTGATTTAAAAAGCAATTGTATAAAATAATATGTATATAAGGTAATGTTGGGCATACAGAAATATAACATATAGAAATATACTATACGTATGACGTATTTCCCAATTACAGCATGAAAAGGAGGTTATGTGGGAGCAAAGCTGTATTGAGCTAAGGAAATGACTGCAGAGGTAAAGTAATAACTACAACAATGTATTGAGTTTATAACACTAAGAGATCTAATGTGTAATAATTCAGATAAGACATATATATGGAATAGATAGTGGTAGTGGTTGCACATGTCTGTGAATATACTAAAATCCATTGAATGGTACACTGTAGATAGGTGAATTGTAAGGTATGTAAATTATATATCAATAAAGCTATTAAAGAGATAATGGCAGAGATGTTCCCATAATTAATCAAGCACACAAATCCTCAGGTGTCCTAAAAGGACAAATAAAAATAAATCAATACCTAGACACAGAGTGATGAAACTTCAGTGTTATCAACAAAAGGAAGCTCTCAAAAGCAAGAGAGGGCAGGCCCCGTGGCTTAGTGGTTTAGTACTCGCGCTCCGCTACTGGCGGCCCGGGTTCGGATCCCGGGCACGCACCGACGCACCTCTTCTCCGGCCATGCTGAGGCCACGTCCCACATACAGCAACTAGAAGGATGTGCAACTATGACACACAACTATCTACTGGGGCTTTGGGGAAAAAAAGGAGGAGGACTGGCAATAGATGTTAGCTCAGAGCCAGTCTTCCTCAGCAAAAAGAGGAGGATTGGCATGGATGTTAGCTCAGGGCTGATCTCCCTCACACACACACACAAAAAAATAAAAATAAAAGCAAGAGAGATGAAGACTGCCTACTGTTCTGTGTTCTTTTAGGTGACGGTCAGTCAGATGTGGTCGCAAGAGTCGGAACAGGAGAGGCTCAGGAAAACAATTTATTTTACTCATGGGTAACTCACTTCAGACGAAATTGACAATCTGAATAGTCCTATAACCATTAAACAAATTGGATTTATAATTTAAAAGCTCCTCCAAAATGAAATCTCTAGATCCAAGTGGTTTCACTGGAGAATTTGACCAAATGTTTGAAGAATTAACACCAATTCTATATAATCTCTTCCCAGAAAACAGAAGAGGAAGGAACATTTCTTAACTCATTTTATAAGGTCTGTGTTAGCCTGATACCAAAACCAAAGATAGTATTAAAAAAAAAAACCCTACAGACTAATATTTCTCATGGACTTAGACGCAAAAATCTTCAATAAAATATTAGCAAACAAATTCAACAATATATAAAACGAATTATATTCCATGACCAAGTGGGATTTATTCTAGGTATGCGGACTTTAATATGTGAAAATCAATGTAATCTATCATCTCAAATTGAAGCTAAGGGAGAAATATCATATGTTCATATCAAATGATGCAGAAAAAGCATTTGACAAAATCCAATACTCCAACTCTTGTTCAACATAGTGCTGAGATTTCTAGCCACTGAAACAAGGTAAGATAAAGAAACAAGAGACATGTAGGTTTGAAAGAAAGAAATAAAACTATCTCTATTTGCAGATGACATGACTGTCTATGTATGTAGAAAATTCCAAGGAATCTACCAAAACATCTCCTAGAACTAATAAGTGAGTTCAGCTAGGTCACAGGACACAAGATCAACATACAAAAACCAATCACATTTCCTTATACTAACAATAAACACGTAGAAACCAAAATTTAAAACACATACCATTTACAATTTTTCCAAAGAAAATGAAAAACTTAGATATATACTTAAACATGTACAGGATCTGTTTGCTGAAAATTACAAAATGCTGATGGAAGAAAGAAAAGAGTAAATAAATGGAGAGACACACTATGTTAATGGATTGGAAGATTCAACATAGTAAAGATATATATTCTCCCCAAATTGATCTATAGGTTTAATGCAATTTTTATCTAAATTCCAGCAAGGTTTTTAGAGACAGACAAGCTTATTCTAAAATTTATATAGAAAATGCACAGGCCTTAGAATAGTTATAACAATCTTGACTCAGAAGAATCAACTGAGAGAAATCACTTTCTGATTTCAACGCTAATTATATAGCTACAGTAATCAAGATAGTGTGGTAGTGGCAGAGGGTTAGACACACAGATCAATGGAACAAAACAGAGAACCCAGAAATACACCCACATGAATATGCCCAACTAATTTTTGACAAAGGCACAAAAGTAATTCAATGGAAGAAGGACAGCTTTTCAACAAATGGTGCTGAAGCAACTGGACATTCACAGGCAAAAAAATGAACCTTGACCTAAATCTTACACCTTATAAAAATTAACTCAAAATGGATCACAGACTTAAATTTAGAACATAAAACTATAAAACTTTTAGGAAAAAAACAGTAGAAACTCTTCAGAAAGTAAGGCTAGGCAAAGACTTCTTAGATTTGACACCAAAAAAACGATCTATAAAAGGAAAAATTGATAAATTAGACTTCATCAAATTTAAAACTTTTGTTCTGTTAAAGCCCACGTGAAGAAGATGAAGACAACCTACAGACTGGGAAAAATATTTGCAAACAACATATCTGACGAAGGACTAGTATCTAGAATACATAGAGAACTCTCAAAAGTCAACAGTAAAAAAACCCCAAACAATCCGATTAGAAAATGGACAAATGACATGAACAGACATTTCACCAAAGAGGACACAGAGATGGCAAACAAGCACATGGAAAGGTAGTGAACATCGTTAGCATCAGGGAAATGCGAATTAAAAGCACAATGAGGTAGTACACTCCATATCTATCAGAATGGCTAAAAAATAGAAATAATGAAAACAACAAGTGCTGACAAGGATGTGGAAAAACCAGATCACTCATACGCTGCTGGTGGGTGTGTAAGATGGTGCAGCTACTCTGAAAACTTTGCTGTTCCTTAAAAAAACTAAACATGCAACTACCATACAACCCAGCAACTGCAATCTCAGGCATTTATCCCAGAAAATAAAAATGTATGTTTGCACAAAAACTTGTACACAAACGTTCATATTAAATTGTAATAGCCAAACACTAGAATTGGTCCAGATGTCCTTCAACAGGTAAACGGTTAAACAAACTGAAACCAAACCATGAAATGCTACTCAGCAATAAAAAGGAACAAACTATGGATATATGTAACAATTTGGATGACTCTCTAGGGAATTAGAAGGAGCCAATCCCCAAAGGCCTCATAGTGTATAGTTCAATTTATATAACATTATTGAAATGAAAAAACTTTAGGAATGTTAGCAGTTGCAAGGGGTTAGGGGTGGGGGAGGGCCTGGAGGTGGGGGCGTGTGGTTATTAAAGGACAATGGGAAGGATCTTTGTGGGGTTGGAACTGCTCATATCACGACTGTGCTGGTGAACACAGGAAGCTACACAGGTGATAGAATTCTATAGCATTCACACACACGCACTCATGCACACAAGAGTACAAGTAAAAATGGAGATATCTGAGTAAGATCAGTGGGCTGTGCCCAAGTCAATATCCTGGCTGTGATGTTATACTACAGTTTTGCAAAATGTTCCCATTTGGGGAAACCAGGCAAAATGTACAAGAGATCTCTGTCTTATTTCTTTAAATGCATGTGAGTCTATAAGGATCTCAATAAAAATTTCAATTAAAAAAAAGACAGCATAAATGGGTCAAATTAAGCATCAAAATATCAGCAAACCAAAGCTGGCAACATATATACAAAAGCCATGAGGATGGGTTAACATCAGAAAATTTTTAATGTAAAATAGTAAATAAATAAAATCATATAATATAAAATAAAATAGTAATGTAAAATAGTAAAGAAGAAAAATATAATCCCAATAAATGTAGAAAAAGCATTTAATAAAAATCAATACATTTCTGTTATGTAAAAATTCCCAGCAAACTAGGAAGAAGGGTACTTCCTTAACCTCAAAAAAGTATTGGCTAAATCCTACAGAAAGTGATATATTGAATACTGAAACACTAAAAGCCTTCCCTTTTAGGTTGGGAAGATAAAAATGCTCACTACTACCACTTCTAATCAACACTGTCCTGGAGACCTTAGCAAGAAAAGTAATACCAGGGAAAAAAAATTTAAAGAAGGAAAAAGCCAAAGATTTGAAAGAAGACATATATGCCTAAAAATGTCTAAACAGAAAATCTAGGAGAATCCACCAAGTAAGAGAACTAATAAGGGAGTTCAGAAAATATCCTCAACTGCATACAGAAGACAAGGCCAACAACAGGCAACACAATGGTCAAGAGCCAGGCAGGGCAGCCCAACACCAGCTCGGGGCACTCGTCACGAAGCTCCTGTGAAGATGGCGTGGTATCAACAAGCGTTGACCAACAGCCAAGGGCCAGGACGGAGCCCAGGAATAGGCTCAGACATCAGTGAAACCTCGACCCATGACAAATCAGCAAGCAAGGGAGTGGTGGTCCAAATAAACCATGCTGAGATCCACTGCAACCCGCCCCTGCCTCACACTCCACATCTGGGCTCAATTCTGCCCTCTACCCACAGCAGAGGCGACTGGGTGAGGTGAGGGAGCCCTGCCCTCCATCAGCACAAGCACAGTGCAAGCCCCTGAGATGGCAGAGACTCCGATGTGGAATGTGGACGAGTGAGCTGGCAGAGGGACTGGGAAAGACCCGTGACACCACAGAGAGGAGGGAGAGCAGTTCAGACGCGCAGAGAGAGAAGCAGAGTGAGGGGTCTTGGAAGGACCTGTGGAGAGTCGGGGAGGTGACCAGGGGAGTCAGGGCTCCAGGATGCCATGAGATTTGGCACGTCCTTCGGTCCCCATTCTCATTTAGTCTCCCAACACCACTGAGGTGGGGAGGGCAGGAATTATCACCTCTATCCTGGGAAAGAGAAATGAGGGCTCAGAGATGTCAATTGCTGCCTAGGTCACAGAGCTGAACAGCAGCCCAGCCAGGCCCACACCGGCCTTGGGTCCCGGCCCAGGCTCTTGCCCTCAACCCCAAGGCACCCATGCACCTTCAGAGTAAGGTGTGAGCCAGGCAAGGAGCACCTGCTGCACCGCTACAAAACAGGGATTCTGCCTCAGAGCATCACGAGGTCAAAGTCCACTCAAGTCGACATCGAGGTCCAGAAATTAGAAAGCCACATTCCCATGAGAAGCACCCTTCTACAGCTCACTAGACAAGTCACGTTCAAGGTGGCTTACTTCTTTTACACAGAAACGAGGACTTCTCGTAGCAGTTCTCGGCGTGCCAGCTGTGCAGGTCGTGGTGGCGGAGGGTGGGGAAGTGGAAGCACTGGAGCTGGGCACAGAGCACGCTGTCGCTGTCAGACATGGCCGAGGCGAAGATGGGGTCTGGGGGCAGGAACACCTCTGAGGAACCTGTGCGGGAGACAAACGGCGGCCGGCCATTACAACGTGACGTCAACATACCAATCACATGCAGTCCTCATGGGGACCAAGGCTCCCCTAAACTGGACCATCAGTCAAGGAGGTCGTGGACTGCCAAGCGCTAGCTGTACTGTGGTTACGGCATTCATTCACTCACGACCTCCCTGAGCTCCTCTGAGTGCAGCTCTGCGCACCGGGCCGACAGGCGCCCCGCTCATATGGAGCCAGGGAGGAAGCACACGAACAAGCAATACTGGGCAGAGAGCCCGACGAGGACTGTGCTTGGCTGGAGAGGTTTAAAGGTAGGGCAACAACATGAAGAGTGAAGTGATGGGTTATAACATAGTGGATTAAAGTGCATGAGTTCATTCAGATAAAGGGAACAAATAAATAGAGGAGAGTAGAGGGAAGTTCTCCCTTACAACAGAGTATCAATTAATAAATGGAGAAGGACTTGAAAAGGTGCCCACTGCACCTGCCAGGAACACACGATTCAGGTGGAGCGGTGGCTCCAATGCCTACCGGGAGCATCAGCTGGCCAGGTGAAGTGCTGGAAAGCGCAGGCTCCCTGGGAGCTCCCTCCCAGCTCCTGGGAGACCCTGTCATCCACTCTGCCTTCCAAGCTGGGGATCAGGAGATCAGAAACCACACTATCTTTGGAGCCCAGGGAGCGGGGAAGGGGTGCTAGGGGAGGGATCCTCTCTTCTGCAATGTTCCACGGTTCTGGTCATACCCGGGGCGCAGCATAGCCAGCCCCCAGCGCTCACTCTACCTCGGAGAGCCCTCCAATGCGGGGCTGCCAAAAGACTGCTTGAGGCTAACCTGGACATGAATCACTTGAAATACCCTCAATTTACTAAGAGGGCGATGCAGTTTGCCCTTAAACAGGAACAAGGCATTCCCACGCACGCCTTTTAAACTATATTTGTTCCCAACACTAAGCACAAAGCTCGATTTTGAAGAGCCGGCGAGTCTGGAGGCAGGACCTCATTCTGAGGGCACTGGGAACATGGTCTCCCAGCTCCCTGACAGGGCAGGGAGATGGGCTTTTGGGAAACATGGAAGGCGGGGGGGCCCGTCTCTGGCTGACAGGCACAGCCAGCGTCAGTGTATCCCTGCCTGGTGACATCAGGGCCCCAGGGTCCTGCCGGCCTGGTCTGCTATGGTCAGAATCACAGGAGGGCCAAGGCAGGAGGGCAGGGGAGGGGGCCCAGGCTCTCTGGAGACGTCTTCCCACATCTCTTGGGGGGCTTATCTCCATCGCTAAGAGTGGGTGCTACTGCAAGCACCCTGTCACCCAGCCCACCACTGCCTTTCCTGCAGGCTCCCTGCTCCCCAGCGAGGCCTCCTGTACCTGCTATGCACCCTCCTCCTCTCCCTCAGATGCCCCTGCAGCTGGGAAGCCCCTTCTCTTTTTAAAAACTATTTTCTTCACTATTTGGCTTCTTGTCTCACAGGCTGAAAAATGAACAGATTCCTCTCATCCTTTATAAAAAAACAAGTTATCAGCCCTGAGTCTAGTTGCCAGCCCAAAGCACAATTTGACCGCATGACTGCCAAACTTGCCAACGCCACAAATGACCTCTCAAGGTAGAGTCCTGGGACCTGGTCCCACCCCCACCCCTCCCTCAGCTGGCCAGACCAAGTCGGGGGGTGGCCCAGGCAGACAGCAAGACGAGGTTCCTGGACCCACCGAGCCACGTGCAGATGGAGGGCAGAGAGGGGCAGAGGGGAGAGGGCTCCTGCCACCTGCCGGTGCCCACAGGACTGCCTGGGTCTCCTCACTCTGTGCTGGTTGGAAGCCCTGTTTACCCCAAGGTCGTGTGAGCCGCAGTTTTTTGAAACCAATGACTATGAAGACCCCTTCCTCTTTGTCAAACTAGAAGACCCTTTTTAGTCCTCATTTTATTTGCCCTCTCTTTGGCATTTCATACTCCATTTTCTTAAAGATGTCTCCATCCTTTCTCTGCCAGCATCTAAATGTAGCTAATCCCCAACACACTTGACATGGTCTTCCATTAGCATCTGCAGTGAGTTGAGTAGCACACCCCCAAAATTCATGTTCACCTGGAACCTCAGAATGTGACCTTATTTGGGTCTTGAAATAAAATCAGCCTGGATTTGGGGTGGGTCCTAAATCCACTGACCGACGTCCTTATAAGAAGGGGAGAGTAGGGCCGGCTCTGTGGCTTGGCGGTTAAGTGCGCGCGCTCTGATGCTGGCGACCCGGGTTCGGATCCCGGGAGCGCCCCGAGGCACCACTTCTCCCTCCAACACGAGGCCGGGTCCCACGTACAGCAACTAGAAGGATGTGAACCTATGACATACAACTGTCTACTGGGGCTTTGGGGGGAAAAAACTGAATAAATAAAATCTTTAAAAAAAAAAAAGAAGGGGAGAGGACACAGAGAAACACATGGAAAAGGGCCATGTGAAGACAGCAGAGATTGGCGTGATGCTGCCACAAGCCAAGGAATGCCAGGAGCCACTAAAAGCTGGAGAAAGTGCAAGGAAGATTCTCTCCTGGAGCCTGTGAAGGGGTGTGGCGTTGCCAATACCTTGATTTTGGACTTCCGTCTCCAGAACTGAGACAAAGTAAATTTGTGTTGTTTTAAGCCACCAAGTTCGTGGTACTCTGTTAGGGCAGCCCCAGGAATTAAACGCAGCCTCCTAATCACTCTCCCTTGCGATTTAACACATATTGGCAGGCCCCAATCCTGTCAACAGGCAGGCGGGGTACACTAGGCAACAACAGCAGGCCCCAGGGCTCCACCTGCCTTGTGGAGCCGACATCTGAGTAGGGCTGTAAATGGCAGAGACAGATGACAACTCACCTAACAAGTGAGTCAAGTACACAGGATGTTGGAAGGCTGTGGCGGCTACAGGAAGAGAGAAAGCTGGAGCATGGAGGAGAAGGCGGCCTCGGAGAGAGAACATCGGGGCAGAGGATGGACCGGGAGGGGGGCGCCAACATTCCTGACGCCGCTTTTGTTGCGAGTTCCACACCACCTACAGGCTCGCTGCTTTGTTAGAAGGACTCAAGGGACTCCACATGTAGCCACAGTCACAGCTGACATTTATTACGGCAATGCAGCAGGACACACACCAGCAGCAAGGGGAAGGGACACCTCAGGCAGTCTGGAGGAATCCAGGCCAGGCTTCCCGAGCACTCTCCCGCCAGGCAGGAGGGTGCCATGGAGTGGGGCCAGCAGTGAGCTGCAGCAACAGCAGTGTGCGGTGTTTCTGCCCAGGGAAGCCTGGATGCCGACCCCCTGCCCACCGTAATTCCCGACTCGCAGGTGTCACTACAAATCCCACTGTTTGAAAAGTCCAGGCAGGCTGGCATAGCTGGCTCCACCTCATCCCTGAGCTGGTCACTGATGGCAGCCAGGGCCAGGCCAGCTATGCTACCTTCTCCTGCACCTGACTGGGCCCTGAGCCTGGGGAAGGAGCATCCCAGGAAGGGCTGTCTGTCTTCCCACCAGCAGGCTGCCAGCCTCTCAGGGCAGGACCTCACCTTCTAGTCTTGGTACAGCAGCAGCCACAGAACGAGCCTGCACTGGGGCCCACCAGGAGCTGTGTAGATCCTCCCAAAGGCCCGCTACTGGAGGCAGCTGTCCCACTCTCAGGGCTGTCTTCCTTCAGCAGAACTGCAGCCTGACCCTGGCTGACACCACTCCAGAGGGCAGGGTTTCTGCACTGCGCCTTCTAGGCCAGCCTGAGCCCTGGCGCTCCCCCTATCGCCTCTCCTTCACTGCTGACAGAGGCTGCTAGAGCCAAGGTCCTACTGGCAGGTGCAGGACAGGTCAGGGCACACAACACGGTCAGATCCTCCCCGGGTGCGGGACCCCTGGGCGGAGAAGACGGACGGCACACCTGGTGACGGCACACCTGGTCTCAGCCCACCTGTGATGGGAGTGAGCCCCAGAGGTGCACATGCTGAGACATGGGTGGACAATGGGGGCAAAGGCGCCGAGCCGAGTGTACCTTAAATAAGCAAGTTACACAACATGTGGACACATCACACACACAGTATGCTTCCATTTTTATATTTTAAAGTAAATATCACGTGTAATAACCAGAAACTGCAGTTACACTGTTAACAGTAATGATGGGGGCCCCACGGGGCACTTTGTGGGAAAATGTGGATGTTTCCCTTTAGACAGCACTGATCTGTTTTTTTCAAACTTTGGGCACAAATGTTATACAAACAGTGGTCTCGTTCTCTGGCGGCAGCAGCTCTTGGTCTCCAGGGCGTGCCAGGACCCGGATGCTGTTAAACCCTCAGGGCCTCGGCACCCGGGGCAGGGCTGACAGGCCATGCACACAGGGCCCAGAGGCAGAGCCCTCCTCGGGGAGAGGCCGGGGGAGTGTGTGCCTGCAGGGCCTCAGGAGCACTCTCCTGAGCAGAGCTCCAAAATTGAAATGCACATGGGGAGTGCCCGCTTGTATGTACCGGAAGTATGTATACATATATAACACCACACATATACTGTTGTGCCAGTACATAACACGCGTTATAAAATGCACAATAAATAGGAAACAGTTAGACAAACTGTAAATGAAGTAAACATTTTTAAACATCTTGCTGTGATGACTCCCTACTGCCATTAACTAATATTCTTAGGAACAGTCTTTTCTTAGGGAAGGGCTCGTCATTAATGACAACAGATCGAAATCCACACCTCCCGCTGTCTTTGTGATACGGCACCTGGGGTGAGCATACTCCTTGGACCGAGCTGGACCCTGTTTTGCAGCAGGTTGCACCTGACAGAGAGCTCCTTTTGGACACAGAAGGGTGGGCCCTGCCTTTCTCTCATTTGCTTGGGGTTGTGTTTTCAGCATTCTCTTCACTATGCGGTTTCTTAGCAGAAATCTTTTTAAATGCTTTTAGTATAGAAATTTTCAAATACACACAAAAGCAGAGAGAAGAGTACACCCCCGTGAGGCTTCAACACCAACCTCCACCCTGCAGTTTGTTTCGTCTCATCCCCCTCCTCTGGGATGCAGACACCATGAAGCTCACCCTACACACAGGTGCGTGTCTCCTAAAATAGTACAACCACAATACCATTATTGTCACACCTAAGAAAACCAATGAGTCAACCTCTACCACAAATCCATATGTACTTTTCCTAACTGTCCTCCCAAAGTTTTTTATAACTCCCCTCCCAATCCAGGATGTCGTTGAGGTTCACGTGCTACATTTGGGTTTAGGTTTCTTTAGCTTCTTCCAATCTAGAACAACCCATGACATTGAGCTGTGTGACGTGTCTGGTCCAGGTATCTTGCAGTAGAGGAATCACTGCTAAAATCCCTAACAGAATTCCCAAGTCCAGTTAAGCAGGCACAAGCAGCCCATGAAACGCTGCACCCACACACAGCTGCTGGACGCCAGGCCCCAAAGCTCTGCCCACGTGGCACCCCACTCTGGCTTCGGAGCCCCTTGCATGAGCCACCACTGCCAGTGTTAACACACACATTCATCTTTTCCTAAATTTCAGACTTGCACTCCTCATGCCCCAGTGGAGCCACAGAGATCAGTGTGGCCAGTGGAGCCCAGTTGGGCCCTGCCATTCTAATGCCAGACAGGAAGGTCCCATGTCCCGCAACTCAGAACAAGCTGTCACATCACGCAGACTCATGTCTTCTCCTTTGAACTGTGTCAAGAAGATAACTGTGTCCAGGAGTGTCTACACTGTCCTGAAGGCTGGCACCCTCTGCTGGGGCTAAGGGCGATGGGCCCTGGCCTAGGATTTACCTCCAATAGCTGTGATTAGGGCAGATAAGAAACTAGTAAGAAAACTATGCTCTGCAAGGCACACTGTGACTTTGGGTCCTGGAAACCCACAAGCCATTTATTTGTCACTACTCCAGTGGGAAATCTAAATAATACAGCCAGAAACTCTGGGAATGCAAATGTGGGTGGTGCTTTTAGTAGGACATTAGTAGGACACGAGAATGGGGTGACACCCTAAGCAGGAGTGGGGGCCGGTGGGTGAAGTCCCCTCTGCAGTGCCCATCTCTGTCCCCTGCCTCTTCCCAGATGCCAGGCTCAGCACCCTCTGCCTCTCCAGAGAAGCCTGATGCCCAGGGCCCTGACCCTTCTCAACACCAATCCTGTCTGTGCCTTCAGCCCCTCTGTGCGGAGACACAGCCAGTCACTTGCCATAAGGTCACTCAGGCTGGGAAGAGGGGCATGACCAGGGCGCTGGCCCTGGGGCACCTGCCCATCATCACAGCCCTCCCAGAGATCCGGGGCCCATTTCTCTCCATGACCCCTGTACCAGGCACCCCTACGGGCCAGGCACTACCACTGAGAGGCTAGGTGCGAGAAGGGGAGACCCTAGCAACATCCTCCTAGTCAGGATGATGCCCGTGCAATCCCAACTCAACAACACTTCAGAAAGACCAGAAAGGCTTACCTTTGAATGCTACCTCCCAGCGACCTTCTAAGGAGCGGTTCCGGCCAGTGATGACATACTGGTAGCCAACCCACAACCTGCAGGAGGGCAGAAATGCAGGAGACCTCAGTGCAGCAGCAGGGAAGCAGCCATCGATTGTGCATGTGTGTGTGTGTTTTAATAGTTATACTGACCTTTAAAATACTGAGCTTCTAAAGCATTAATGATTTTAAGTTTTGATACTTAATTTTAATAAATAGCATTAAAATTCTAAACAATAAATTCACAAGTCAGAAAAAGTTTTATCTTGGGTAACTCCTGCCAAGACTGTTCTTATTAGCTGCTCCAACAAAGCTGTCACATTCTAAGCAAGACCCCCCTTATTCTTAGTAGATATGCAGCCCCATGAACATAACTCCATGAATACACTAAGACCACAGAACAGCACACTCTAAAGGGGTGGATTTTATGGTATATGAATTACATCTCAATAAAAAACAAACCTTTGTGGGCACACACTGCACTGCTAGGTGAAACCACGCTCATGGCTTCCGGCTGGGTCTCCTGCTCAGAGCCCACCCCGGCCTCTGGTGGGCTCCTGAGTGTGCACACGTCACAGCAGTGAGGGAGCCGTGCACACGGACCTGGCCGACTGCCACAGCCACCTGCTGAGCGTGTACCCCCTCACCCCAGCCTTCCAGACCCAGTCCTGAAGATGTCCGTCAGCAGGTCCACTGCCACCGTGGGAGCCCTGGCACTGCCACTCTGCCCCTTCAGCCTACCGCTAGGCACACGCACACCCTGGGGAGACAGGGCACTTCCCCACCTGCTGGACTATACTTCTCCATGGACTCACAACTGCCCTGTGACCTAGGAGTTATTTTTTTCACTTTGTAGCTGCAGAAACAACAAGGTCTCTTGATTTGCCAGTGTCACAGGGCTTAATGGTACAGCCAAAACACAGCTTGGGTCTTGAAAGGAAGGCTCTCTCTCCACCTGCTGTGGTCACTGCACTCCTACGGTGATGCAGCAGCCAGTGCCATCGCTGGGAGGGAGGACGGGCCATCTGGTCACCCCTGTGATCCACTCCCCTGACCCCAGCAGTGTGGAAGGGGCTGTATGATGCAACTGCCAGAGGACGAAGCTCTGAGTCCTCAGCATACACCTGCCCCCAAAACAACACCCCCAAAACACTGTGCCTGGGAGATGCCAGCAGTTGGCTGCAATTTCCACACTTTCTCCTGGATGTTGCAGAGCCTGGGGGTTAAGGGCCAGGCTCTGAAGCCAGACTGCCAGGGTTGAAACCCAGGCACACCCCAGCTAGTGTGTGCCCATGTCACGTACTCACTCACCCTGGGCCTCAGTATTCTCACCCACTGGCCTCCTGTGGTTTCTGGGAGGACTAAATGAGCGGGCCTATGGAAAGCACTGAGCACAGGGACTGACAGAGCCCACTTTGTTGGAAGGAACCTCCACCTACTTGTGCACCCCTCATAACAGGCCCACAAAGCCCCACACCGAGCAGACCATCCTTATACAGGCCAGGCCCCCTTGCAGTTCAGCACCTGCAGCTGAACATACAGAAGGGGACAACGAAAGGTGCTGACCCAAGGTGACACAAGGTGGCAGCCTGTCCCCTCCTTTTTAAGAGCCCCCAGCCCCCATCTCGAGGCCGGCTCTAAACCCCGGAATTCTATTTGTTTCCAGTGGACAGGGCTGCCCTTCTCTAAACTACTGGCTGCGGCTATGCCTTAGGAGTGCTACAGGTAGCCAGAGGCCATGTCCTCAGCAGGCATTATGCTCAGCGGGCATCGGTTCACCCCCAGGCCCTCGGTGCCCATCCCAGGACTCACTTGTGTTGGTCCTGCCAAGCAAAGCTCCGCTCCGGCTGGTCCCATTCCTGGGCCAGGACGAAACGCAGCTCCTGGTCAGTGGAGAAGGTGGCGAGGGAGCCATTCACGCGCTGGCAGGTCTGCGCAGCATCCCAGTAGTTCTCCCCGCTCAGGTAGACCCTGTAGCAGCTGGCCGTGCCTTCATAGTGGTGCCACCCTGTTGGGCACTTCCCTAGGAAACATGAAGGACAGAAGGGGAGTTGTCCCCCAAATTAGGATCCTCACTCCAAAAGGCAATTATATATGCTGCATCTGAGCACAGCTCAGAAATCACCCTAGACAAACAGGGAAACTGAGGCTCAAGAGGAAAGCTCTGCCTCTAAGACCACGTACTTTGTGAAACGCTCAAGTTTCTCTCAGACACAGATGTGACCAAAGGTGCAAGTATATTCAGTGATTCCTCCTATTTCTATAAGGTCTTTAATTTACCTGGCAGTAAAGACTGGATACTGAAATTCGTTTCGGTAAAGTGGATTTTGTTCTCTGATTAAGTCTGGTTGACAAGACGGCAGAACTCCCCACACCAGCTAGTGGCGAGGTCTGGCGGGAGTAAGCAGGGAGGCTCCTTGCCCGAACTGCCCTCATTGCCCCAACCCTACTCCTCTCCTTCTGTTCACGTGGGTGCTGGCCAGTGCTCCCCTCAAACAGAAGCTCAGGAGATCAGAGCTGGAAGGGCCACTGAGATTACGGGACCAACCCTTGCCTCCCACAGATGAGAAAGTGAAGCCCAGGTGGCTCCACAGTGGGCAGAAGCTAGACAACTGGAGTTGGAGTCTCCCCAAGACGGGCCAGGCCAGACGTCTTCTCCAGGTGGGCCCACCTTGGGGTGGGGAAGGCCCCTGTACTGTACGGCTGGCCTTGGGTCAAGAGCAGTGACCTGTCCTACAGGATCTGTCAAATGCTGGTCTACCTGCCTCTAAGATCCTACTGATGAAGAGTAATGATGTAAACCTTGCCAATACCGATGCTCGTGTTTCTAATTACTTAGGGCACGTGTGTGTAACTTATTAACAAAGGACAGAGGTCACAGGAGAGGAAACGGCAGCTCTAGCCCCCATGCCAACAAGGCATGCCACAGCACAGCTGCAGTGCAGACAGTGTGACAGTGCCGTCTGCCCACCGGGAAGGGCCTGCTGACAAACCGCGGAGCACGCAGGAAGGCTCTTCCCTGGAGACCAGGAGCCAGCCGGGGAAGGGAAGGAGCACGGTGAGCACAGCACACACCTGCTGAGTGTGTGACGTGGGTGTGAGGGGCAGGAAGATTACCAGGAGCCTTTACTGCATGTTTCCTAAGCCCCACACACAATGCACTCAACCTGCCGCACTCCCCCACAGGTGAGTTCTGTCCCGTCTCCAGGTTAGAGGTGGGGACGCTGAGGCGTACAGAGGCCAAGCATCTCGGCTGGCGAGTGACAGGGTGGGCTTCCATCCTGGGCTCCTCACCCACCATCTCAGGATGGGTCCAGAAGAAACCCTCCGGGGATGGAAGCTGGTGGCTGGGGGCAATGGAAGGAGGGAACATTACTTTTTATTGGCTTTTTTTTTTTTTTTTTTTTTGCTGAGGAAGATAGGCCCTGAGCTAACATCCATGCTCATCTTCCTCTATTTTGTACATGGAACGCACAGCATGGCTTGATGAGTGGTGTGTAGGTCCACACCCAGGATCCAAACTCTCGAACCCCAGGCCGCCTAAGCAGAGCACGCGAACTTAACCACTATGTGACTGGGCCGGCCCTTTCGCTCATCTTTTTTTTTTTTTTAAAGATTTTATTTATTTATTTTTTCCCCCCAAAGCCCCAGTAGATAGTTGTATGTCATAGCTGCACATCCTTCAAGTTGCTGTATGTGGGACTCGGCCTCAGGATGGACGGAGAAGTGGTGCCTCGGTGCGCGCCCGGGATCCGAACCCGGGCCACCAGCATCGGAGCGCGCGCCCTTAACCACCAAGCCACGGGGCCGGCCCCTGGCTCATCTTCTTTTATCTTTTGAACTTTATGGAACTATTACCTAGGTAGAAGTATTATCTGTTCAAAAGAAAAGAGATAAGCAATGAAAAGAAAGAGCATGGGACTGAGAGGCCTCCATGGGGCTGAGCCCTGGAGCCACCCCTGTTGGCTGTGTGACCTCGGGTGGGCTGACCTCCCAGAGCCTCAGTTTCCTCACTTGCCAAGCTTGCACAGCACCCCTTCGACTGCGAGAATCTGTGGAGTTCACAGCTATTAGGTGTCAAAGTCAAGCACAGAGCATCAGGGCTCAGAGGAGAGCTGACCCCACCACCCCAGTAAGCTCAGTCTCCATCAGACAGAGAACCGAGGCTCCACGTAGGGCGGCCGTTTCGAGGAGCACTGGGGTCCCTGTGCTGACCATCTGTGGGTATTAACACAGCCAGCGTCTCCTAGGCCCAGCAGCAGACCATCAAGTGTCAGCTTCTCCTGTCTCAGCATGTGGCTGCTCGGTATACCTTGACGTCATCACTCCTAGGCAGGTCTGTTCAGGAGGGGTTCAGCTGTGGCTTTCTGCCTCTCAACCTTCCTTAATCTTGTTATGCTCCTTTAAAATCTTAATGTCATAGGGAAATCATTAACTAACTAGTCACCTAAAAAACATTTTTAAAACAGAGGTAGAGCCTTCCCACCCCATCAACTGTCCTTAATCTCTCAAAGCCTGTTTCCATCTACAGAAGAGCCGGTGCAGTCCAGTCTGAAAGGCAGTCATCTTGCAAAAACAAGCAGCCTGGTTCCAGAGTGTGGCTTCATGTCACGGCTTCACCACTCGGGCTGGGTGACCTGGGGTGGGTCACCATGCAGCCTCACTCACCGAAAGAGGATAACACCCCGACTGCCCTAAAGGGCTGTTTTAGAAGACACACCCCTTGCACAGCCAAGTGGCACTGGGAGAGTCGGGGCCGCATGGGCCCCTGAGGCTTAGGGCCTGACAGGGCAGGTCTGCAACTTACTGCTGAAGCGGACGGGCTGCGCCACATTCACTGCGTGAAAGTGCGTGGGGTCGCCACCTCGGGCCCGCCCCTGCCGCGGATCCACAGCCTCCTTCCCATGGTAAGGACGTGACTCCCCGGTCACTTCTGAAAGCAAAGAGAGAAGTGGGCAATGAGCACGGCTGATGCCACAGCGAGGTGCAGGGCACAGGTGGCTCTCCGGGGCCAGTGCCAAGTCAAACCACAGCACGGTCAGACCACTCAGGGCCGGGAGGACCAGGTGAGGGGGCAGCACATATTCCATTCATTCAGGTTTTCTTTAAAACCCTATAAAACGGTGCTGTTCCCATCAAACGGGTCACATGCGCTTCTACTGAAATTATACCTTGGCAATCTTCATTTTTTTCTTACTATTATGAAATGAGGTCTCTCCTTCATTTCATTTTCTAACAGGCTACTGCTGGCACGGCAAAGATTCAGCCACTCCTGCTGAAAATCCTGCAGCAGCTCTATCCACCATAGAGTTCTTCCCAGAGCCCAGGCTGCCTGCCCTCCCCCTCCACCCCTTCCCACTGCGGGGGAGCCTTCCCTGTCAGCAGAAGGGGGACCCACTGCGTGCGACCCTCCTCTGCACTGCTTGGCCCTGGGCCTGAGTCCCCGCCTGTCCACCTGCCTGCTGGCCCCCTCTCACAGCCTCAAGGCCGGGGCCTCAGGATATTCCTGCCGGGCTCCTTGGCCGGCACAGGCCCTGGTGTGCTGCAGGCCTCGACACACGGCTGGGAGTATGAACAGGAAGCTGAAGCTGAGGAAAGTCTAGTTTTATGTATCACGGCCCAAAAGTAATTCGCAGGTTGGTCCTTCCACAAACAGTCTCTCTTTGGAGTTCTCCAACCCCCATGTGAGAGGAGATCCACTCTCCTCCCTCTCACAGCTGAGGGGCGACTCAGAGAAGTGAGGCGATTTATCCAAGGCACACAGCAGGAGAGAGCCAGAGCAACACCCCTCCTGGGCCACCCACGTCCCCATTCTGCCTGCACAGGGTGTGCATGGTGAAGGACACCTGGTGCAAGGTCAGGACAGATGGTGACAAGCTTGGTCTGCACGGCTGCACACACACAGAGGGAAAGACATCCCCGAGCAGGCCTGCTCTGCCTCCAGACGGCTGGATGATGACAAGTCTTGGCAATCCCAGGCCTTCGTGGCATGGCAGAGGTGGGACGGGACAGGGGCGGCCTCCCAAAAACCCACTTCACGGCTGGCAATCAGAGACCCACCTGACAAGCTTCTCTAGCCATCTGGTTCTACTAGTGTTCTACTAGTGTCATAGACTCTGACACTGTTTTTATTTAATAAATAATCTACTTTTTTCATTATATATTTCATTATATTTTCATTATAAAATATTCAATGTGAAATATTTGCAAAATAAAGGAGTTCAAAAAGACAAAACATAAACCATGACTGTGTTAGGGTCCACCCTTCCAGTCTCTTCTTTTCTACACAAATCCTTAAAAATATTGGGATCACATCAAACACTCTATTTGTTTTGTAAGCTATAAGCAGCATTCCATATTCTTAAATGGGCTTAAGAAGATCACTTTTAATGGCTGCACGGTGTTCTATGAATGGATTTCTTTCATTACCATGATCACCTATGGTTCAAAGATTAGGATGCATTTCTTCATTACTCTATGAAGGGCTGGACTGAACAACCTGTGCAGAAATCTGTGTGTGTGTCCGTCATTATTTCCTTCTAAGACCCTGGGCAAGTCATGAGCCCTAGCCGCTTTGTTCCTTCTCCCACTAAGTACTCAGTATGAATATGTCCATAGCTCCTTCTCAGGTGTGTGACGAGGATCACGTGCCGTTAGATTGCAAATCACTGTCAATTATAAAATGTGCCACCAGTGTCTTAACACAAGGCAAAGATCTCAAAGGAGGAGCATCTTCAAGGCCTTTGGTGAGACCTCAGTGCCACCATAATGACCTCATTGCTGCCCGTGCAGGACGGGTGGTCTGCGGTTGCAGCTGCTCTCTTCAAACACCCAGCCCCAGGGGTTGGAGTGACATCAGCTCTCTAGGACTGGGGTGCCCCATCCACATAGCCCTAGCACCCAGCACTCCCAGAAGGAGACTGGCACTCTGACATTGGGGCAGTGCTATAAAGCACCCCCGAGGCACCCCCACAGGGAGGCAGGCAGAGGAGTGAGAAGATCCACACTGGGCTTCTGAGGGATGGCAGACTGGGAGACAAGGAGGGAACAGACAGGCTTCCTGGCAGAGGGCACAGTTCGGGCAAAGGCCAAAGGTGGACACGTCTGGCACAGGCCTCAGGACAAGCTGGGGTGTGGCTATAGCATGTTTCACTATACCTACATTTCACATCTCCCTCTGTCCCCTCAAACGAGCAAGACCTGTGATTCCACTCTGTGTCTTGGCCTCCTCTCCAGATCAAGCACAGCACCTGGTATGTGACAGGCCGAACTGCTCACAGGAAGACAGATGAATCTAGGGTGGGTGCGGGGAGGGGATGAAAAGGTAAGAGAGAGAGTTCTGCGAGGTCACATGGGCACTGAACACCAGGTGGCCTGGATGCTGTCTGTTGGACTGAAGCCATCTGCAGCCTGGGGAGGGGGTGGGAGCAACAGGTGCAATAGTTAAGGAAAGTAGCCAGAAAGCCAGGGGGTGATGGAGGAAGCTAGTTTGTGCTGAGCAGGCTTCTCTGTGGTTCAGGTGGCAATTTTAAACCCTTCTCTTTTCCGTCACTTCTCTTCATACCCATTCGCCCACAACCACCCCTTCATCATGCATTTATTCAGTGCCCATTACATGCTGCCATGGAAACCCACCAGCACAGACACAGGCCTTGGCCAGCAAGAAGGTGAAGGCCTTGGCAGAGGGGATGGTGCTGATGACAGACAACGAACTCCCTAGTGTTGTGGGGGAGAGCCTGGGGGCTGAGAGAAGCATGAGATGGGCGCCGCTGAGGAGGAGGCAGAGCTCAGGATCAGCACCCTTCCCTTATAGACCTCTTAGGACCACCTCTGACAATAAAGAATTTCCTCTGAGACCTTCAGACAGCATTTCCCTCTAAGGGCCAGTTGGCGAGTGTGCAGCATTCATGGCTGAGCTGATTCACGTGCAGCCAGCCCCAAGTGCACTGGTTTCAGGTCAAAGTTCCTTCCCCTCTCCCTCTATCTCAGTGTGCCAGGCACTGTCCTAGACATGGGGAATAGGCAGTGAACAAAGGAGCAGATGAAATGGAGCTGATGGAAATATGGACATAAATATCAGAAGAAATAAGTTAAAAAGGTGTCTCTGGGAAAGAGATTAGGGACAGAGGGCTGGGAGGAGAGAAAGCAGGGTTTTCTATTTCATCTTGCAATGTGCATATATAAGAATTAAGAAGACCTTGGATGAGGAATCCTCCTCAGGTCAGTCTGCTTCCCGCCCTCCTCCTCTTCCATTCAGCCTCTGGCCATGATTGGGACAGAGGAGTCCAAGTGCATAACCCAACTCCAAGCCCAGCCTGATGTTGTGGAAAGAGTGCTCCCTGCATCACTGGTTGCCAGTTGGGCTCTTCTCTCTCTAGATGTCCTAAGAATTCAGAGCAGCTCTGGCCACCAAAGACATAATGGGAACCCACAGAAGTAGACATGAAGCAAGGAGGAGCCAACATGGTTGTTTTGCTACCAAAAAAAACAAGGAAAAGGGAAAAGTTTTACAAACAAAAAAGTAGGCTCAGAAGTGTTACGAGTCTTGCTTCAAAGCAGAAGTGGAACACAGGGGAGGTGGGCCCTCCTCCTCTTCCAAGTCCACAGGACCTGGACCTCCCCCACCTCACAGCCCACCACCAGAAGCCTGTCTCCACCTGGCTCCCCAGGCAGCTCAGCCTCATGTGCAGGCAGAGCTCAGGGAAGCCGCCGCCTCTCCTGGCCCAGCTCTACTGGGGGCACCAGGCATGCTGGGCTTTCTGCTTCCCCAGCACAGGCGTCACACAGAGAGTTACGGGGCCACTGGGGAGCCTCGAGTCCAAGAGGGAAACTGAGTCAAAGGCAGGCAGTAGCATGCTTGCTTCCCAACAGCGTTTGGCCAGAAATAAGGATTATTTGAAATAAAGGACAAAATGTGAGTGATTAATTTGTGTTTCTAGAAATTTAAAACTTGTCTAAATATGGTATTAAGGTCCAGATGAGCTTCTAACCTCTCCGAATAAAGGAGAGGGCAAGACAGACGGAGCCTCTTTAGCACTCCAGGTGTTAGAACACACTTCACCTTCCTACTTTATACACCAAAGCAGGTTAGAATCACGGCCAGAAATCAGACGTCGGTAAGTCAAATAATACTTGCTTACCAAAACAGGATTTCTAACATCAGAGAGCCTAAAAACATAAAATTTCTAATGGTATTTCCATTATGTTGTACATGTTCTTTAAATTGATTCCTCTCCCTCCTAGCTAGCGCTAGGGTCACGTCACTTATTGAGAATCTCACTGAGGCTAAAGGTTTGCTAGTTTGGGCAAGCCCCAGTGACTGCCATCTTGGTCTCCATTCTATCGAGGTTTTGAGACTATGCTTCTTAAACACCAACACGAGCACTTTTGTTTTCCCATTTTATACCGATGTAGACAATGCACAACTCAACACAGAGAATAACTGCAAAAAGACAGCCCTGTAAGTTCCAAGTTCAAAATCTGCCTCCCTTCTGTTGCTCCTGGGTCCACGAATGTTCTCAGCCACAAGTTCACAGAGGGAATGTCTTACCTTCCACTAACGCCTATAACAAAAGCTGAAGCCATCAGCTAGTCCTATGACACACTCAACCTGTGGCCTTGGGTCTCAACTGCCAGCAGAGATATGGCAGAAGCAGACTGACCTGAGGAGGATTCCTCATCCAAGGTCTTCTTAATTCTTATATATGCACATTGCAAGATGAAATAGAAAACCCTGCTTTCTCTCCTCCCAGCCCTCTGTCCCTAATCTCTTTCCCAGAGACAACTTTTTAACTTATTTCTTCTCATATTTATGTCCATATTTCCAAATAATAGGTTTACCTGGCTATTTCTAGTTTTATCAATTTTAAATGTTACCCACTGACTTAATCTTAGGGCAGGTACAGGTTTAGCTCACATACACTCTTACCCACC